TTTTTTTTTTTTTTTGCAGTGCAACTTCTTGCCACTAGGCCACCAGAGCTCCCTTGGTCCCTTCTGATAACATGTCCAAAGTCCATGAGACAAATTCTCACCAGCCCCACTTCTAAGAAGTCTGGCTGTCCTTCTTCCAAGACAACTTGTTGATCTTTCATAATATAGTCCGTGTTCTTCACAAACACCCTAATTCAAATATGCATTGATTAATTTGATCTGCCTTATGCATTGTCCAGCTTTCACATGAATGTGAGGGCATTGAAAATACGAAGGTTTGGGTCAGGCACACCACAGACTTCAAATACCATATTTGTTTGTTCCACTGGGAAAATTTTATTGAAAAATTATTATTAAGGGAGCTCTGGTGGCTTGGTGGCAAGAAGCTGCACTGCAACCCCAGAGGTACATGGTTCAAATCCACCAGATGCTCTGCTGGAGAAGGAGGGGCAATCGCCTCCTGTACCAGTCTGATCTGATTTGACAGTACACACAAAAAATAATCAATTTTTTAAAAAAAATAATTATGAAGAAGATAAAAAAGAAAAAATTATTTTCCCGCATTAGAAAAGATTTATTGAAAAAAACATTTTTTACCATGTTTCCTTTTGAATTCTTTAGTTTTAGAGAAGTCTTTTGGAGCATGTTTGCCCAATGCACTATGTTGTTTGATTTTTTTATTCTTTGTTGCACATTTTCTTCCCCTCTTTCCCTCCCAGCCCCCAGCCCAACTGACAATGCACCCCTTGTTCCAGGTTGTTTTCATATAAATATAACACATAGTAATATATTCCTTTCAGACAGTTCTTCCCTTGATCTGTTCTAATACAGTGTTCATTATCTATCCACTTCCCCCCCATTCCCTCCCCAATCACCCTATGTCTGTTCTATTTTATAACAGCAGTTTTATGGAGTATTTGTGCCTTTGGGACTGAGTTATTTCACTCAGCATAAAGTCTTCCAGGCTTCCCCATCTTGAATAATGTTTTTACTATTTCACTGTTTTTCAATGCTGCATAGTATTCCATTCGTTTGTTAATGGGCACTTGGGTTGCTTCCACGCCTTTGCTGTTGTGGATAACATAAACATGGGTGTGCATACATCTGCTTGAGTCGTGGCTCTGGTTTCTTTAAGGTCCTTTCCTAGTAGTGTAATTACTGGGTCAAATGGTATTTCTATTTCCAGCTCTTTGAGAAAGCAGCAAACTGCCTTCCATAGAAGCTGTGCCATTTTACACTCCCTGTCATTTGATTCCTTCATGGCTGTTGATTATGGATCCAAGAAAAAATGAAATTCTTGACAACTTCAGGAATGTTACAGCGCTCGCCTGTCATTCTGTGGTAATGTGGTGAGCTGTGTGTTGCTGCGATTCTAGAAATTATGCCACTAGTGTTTAGGTCCTAGCAGGTCACTCATGGTGGGCAGGTTTCAGCGGAGCTTCCAGACTAAGAACTAAGACTAAGAGCTACTTCTGAAAAGCATTGGCCAGTGTAAACCGTAGGAATAGCAGCATAACACTGTCTGAAATGGTGCCAGAAGCTGAGCCGCTCAATTAGGGTTCAATGCTCTAGCTGTTGGGATCTGAGGTCAAAAGCTAATGAAACAAATTTGAGTGGAAAAATGTCTGAGAGGCAGTGTTCCCTTACCAGGACCCCAAGAGTTGGTGACAAGGGTAGAATGAATCATAGAGTGAGGTAGTGAACATTTTACTGGGGAAAGAAAGAGCCACGTGTTTGGCCAGAACTGTATCCCTTCTCCATATGTATTAAATATGTGTGCTGAGCAAATCATTCAAGAAGCTGGACTATATTAAAAAGAAGGTGGAATTAAGAATGGAGGAAGACTCATGGACAATCTGCATTATGCAGATGATACAACTTTGCTTCCTGAAAGAGAACTTGAAGCACTTGCTGCCAAAGATCAAAGACAGCAGCCTCTTTGGTATAAATTACATCTCATGGAGAAGAGATTGAGGTTGTTAACAATTAAAGCTTGCTGGGATCCACAATCAACACTCTTGGTACCAGGAGTCAGAAAACCAAAAGATGAATTACACTGGGAAAATCTGCTGTCAGGGACCTTTTCAGCGTATCTTGAGAAGCAACAATGTCAGTCTGGAGACTTAAGATGCTCCTGATTTCAGACCTTGGTCTTCACAGTTAATTGCTATGCATCTGAGAGCTGGACAGTGACTATGGATGGCAGAAGAATTGATGCCTTTGAGCTGTGGTGCTGGAGAAGAGTCTTGAACATACCATGGACCACCTAGAAAACAAATAGGTCTGTCTTGGAGATGGTGAAACCAAGTTTCTCCTTAGAGGCTAGAATTTTGAAGCTCCATCTCATTCTTTGGGCATGTGGCCAGGAGGCCACATACTCGGAAGACATATTTGGAAGGGTGGAGGGACAGACAGGACAGGAAGACCCCAGATCAGTTGAGATGATACAGTAACTGGGGCAATGGGGATAGGTGTGTTGGAGTCAGTGAGACTGGCTCAGAACAAGGCAGGCTTCAGAGCTGTTGTTCATAGAGTTTCTGTGAGTCACAGGAAACTTGACAGCATTTAACAACAACATCAAGAAAATAAAAATCCTCACTGCTGGACCAATAAGCAACATCATGATAGACTGAGAAAAGATTAACATTGTCAGTAACTTTGTATAATTTGTATCCATAATGAGTACCCACAGTAACAGCAGTCAAGAAATCAAATGACTTAGAGAGCTCTGGTGGCTAGTGGCAGGAAACTGCACTGCAGTCCCAGAGGCGTGTGGTTCAAATCTACCAGATAATCTGCTGGAGAAGGAGGGGCAATCTCCTCCTGTACCAGTCAGATCCAATTTGATGGTAAACACACACACACACACACACACACACACACACACACACACACCAAAAAAAAAGAAAGAAAGAAATCAAACAACTTGTTGCATTTGGGCCCTCTCCAAAATCCTAAAGGAGCAAGGATGTCAGTTTAGAGACTAAGGTGCACCTGATCCAAGCCATGTTGTTTTCAGTTGCTTCCTGTGCATCTGAAACTTGGACATTGAATAAGGACAGGAGAAAAATTGATGCCTTTGAATTATGGTGTTGGAGAAGAGAGCGGAATATCCCATGGACCGCAAAAAAGAACAAGCAAATCTGTCTTGGAAAAAAGTGCAACGAGGGTGCTCCTTAGAGGAAAGGGGGGGTGGAAAAGACCTCATGCTGGAAAAGATGGAGAGTCAGAGGAAGAGCGGAAGACTCTCAGGGAGATGGACCGATAAGTGATGATAACAAGCGTATCCAAGGTGGTGAGGATGGCACGGGATAGGACGAGATGCAGATCTGTTGATCGCAGAGTCGCTGTGAGTCAGAGTCCACTCGATGGCACGTAACATGTTCAGTAGGTGAGGTAGGGGTGCAGTGTGTCTATATGTGACAAAACCGAGAAGATTGTAAAGGCCATTTTGGAAGCCACGGGGACATGGTCCTTTGAACCCTGAAGAGATGCAGGGAGAGGCAGAGAGCCAAGGGACTTCCACTTATCCTGATGCATTGGGGTCTTGAGAATGAAGCACAACGAGTCACATCAGGGGCCTGGGAGGCAAGGGGAGAACAGAAAGGGGGACCCCAGGTGAAGAAGAGGATGGGATGGGATGCAGAAGTCCGTGGAAAGGGATGGTGAACCCCACGTCTGACACATCAGAAGCCAAGTTTGTGTCTTCTGAGATCCACAAGGTGGTCAGTACTAATGCACTCAGCGGGGAGGGCTCGGAGCTGCGGCTGGAACAGTACCCGGTAGAAGCAATGACTGAGCCCATCAGCCGGGTCATAGCTCCCTGGATGATACCGTTCCGTTTCTGAAGTTGGTGAGATGCCTCTTTGCATCCCGATTGAGGAGTTCCACTGACATTTTCCATAAATGTCCAAAACCATGAACAATGGAGTCAACTGAGTTACCTAAGCAAAGGCCCAGCTGCCTTCACAAAGCCTACCAGGGCCTTACATTCAAGCCTCCAGTGAACCCCTGTGTCCGGGCACAGGGTGGTTGCCAGAAGCTATCAGAAGCTGTCAGCTTCTTTGCTGACATCCGCTCCCCAAGCACATTCGGCACCAAAGCCATAGTTGTTGAGCAGAAACACAATCTGTTCCTTCCTTTTTTTTTTTTTATTATTATTTTG